TGAGGACAATAATTTTGAGTTCGAGTTTGTACAGCAATCCAACAACACAATTCAAAATGAATGAAGGCAATTCATGTTATCACAAACCCAGGTGTCCATCTACTTTCTGCTACTGAGCGCTGCATTGACCGCTTGTTGCAAGATTGCTTCTTGCATCGCGTGCTGATACTGTGCTTCTTGTTCGTGTTGATCTTGTTGCGCTTGGAGCATTTGTGCATGCGCTCGGGCTTGAGACTCCTATAATTGATATATCATTTGTCGTTGGTGTTCCATCCCAGCCATCATTCTTGCAAGTACTTCTTCCATGGTAGTCATTTCTTCCTTAATTTTTGTTTTGCAAAAAATGTTCGATTTTACAAATTAGCAAGGTATTCCGCTGGCGTCTCTTCGATCTTCTTCTCTTCGCTCTTCGGCTTGACCACCAATATGTTGTCGATGTTCTCAGTCACGTATCCGGATGCCAAACTCAAACTTGCTTGAATCTTGTAAAGATCGCCCAAAACGTACTTAATCCGATGACTGTTGGACTTGACGTTCGTTTGCTCCAAATCGCGTCTGAACCGCTCGATCACGCGTCGCACTGCTTGGAGCTTCTCAATCACGCTTTCTCGAATCGAATCCAAGTTTTCGATGTCCGATTGGCCCAAATAGTGGATTGAATTAAACGACACTTTCGTCTGTAGACCGCCTTTTTACGCTTTAGTCTTTTTGTCCCTTGAGACAACCTTGCTTTCCACCGCCGCCGCTTGCTCCGCCTTCTTGAAATCCTTCTGGTTCCACGCTGTCTTCTTGTCCATGCGTGGGTCCGGTGCACTTGGCAATAACAACCTCAACACTGGTCGCTATGAAAGGTCGCGTTGAACCTTTGCTTGAACCAGATAGAGTACCCTCACTACCGTCAAGAAATGTGGAGTCCTTGAGTGAACCAAGACGTGCTACCAACTGTAGTGTGTTAGGCACAGACGAAATTTATAAGTGCATTGATTGCCGTGATATCCTGCTCTAACGGTCCTTCCTTACGTGGCTTCGCTAACGGTGTTCTCAACGGATATTCTTCGTACTACAATCCCTACAGATCAAGTCGACAATCCAAGTTATTTTCATTCTTGACTTCGTTACATGAGCACTATCGCAGAGCTAGATGAAGCGTTTTCATTACGAGCAAACCGCAAATATTCTCTCGTAAACTACGCCTTACCGATTGAGGAGCGTGCCATAAATCACATTCCAACTCGTGAGGCTCTACCACGCACAGACCATGGATGGACAATCCCGTGGCTGTGTAAATGGCGGCTGCCATGCCCCATTTGTCGCCAACATGAAAGCAATCCCTTGTCGGCCAACCACTTCAGCCACGGCCGGGTCCATATGCACCAGCAATTGGAACGACGTTCTCAACGACACCCGTCGTTCGGCTTGCTATAACCGGAACTGTCGAGTTTATCCAGCTTCACCGTCTCCTGCCAACTCGTCATATCTCCATTAAGAACTGGTTCATACCAGCGACGGAATGCCCAGTCAAAATCAGAGTTGGCACAGCGATTTGTCAGTCGGAATTTGGTTCCGAGACCTAGGAATTAAACCGAGATCTATCGTCAAGTTGACAAGAAGGGGCAGGGGCTACACGAAGGCAATGGAGGTCGTCCTCTGGGCGCACAACGAACAAATTCCACGTCTTGATGTCGAGCAAGAAGAAGGCGCTATTCCCAGTCGAATGGACATGAGTCCGTTCAGGTTGGACGACGCACGTGGTTACGAGTCCTGGGTGCCTGAGCACATTATACTGTGCCTCCGAGTCTGGCAGTAGCGATGACAAATGGACTGCATGGGAGCTCTGTCGGGCAAAGAAATACCAGTCCACCACGAACACTCAATTTAGTCCTAGGAGCCGAATGAAGCAAAGGAAGCTTCTGATGGCATACACCTCCCTTTGTCACGTCGGTGCAATGTCGACGGCGTCCATGTGGAAGCAAAGCAAGCTCATGTTCCAGTAGGGATCCAAAGTGTACTGGATGAATACAAGGATGTATTTCCGAAAGAATGTCCCGACGGATTGCCTCCCGAGCGTGCAGTTCAGTTTGACCTCAAGTTGAAGCCGGACGCCAAGCCGCAGAATCGTGCACCATTTCGAGTTGCTAAAGTGGAACAATAGTGTATAGACAAGTTTGTCAAAAAGCATAATGACAAGAAATGGGTTGAATAGTCGACAAGCGACTGGGTGGCGAACATCTTTGGAGTTCCAAAGAAGGACGAGAACGGAAGGATGTTTTCTTGTCAAGTGTGGTTAAAAACGGCGACTGCAAACACTCCAATTCGATGGGTGCTCGACTACCGACATACAACTCACAGTCTGAAATCCCCAAGATTCCTCTTCCGAACAAAGAGGACTTGTTCAACAAGATGTACGGATGCAAGGAGTACACGAAGAGTGATCTTGTGTCAGGATACAATCAAATTCTGGTTGAGCCGCAGGCGCGCAAGTATACTTTGTCCCTTACACACAAGGAGATCTAGCAGTGCTGCCCCAATGGGAATGGCGGGAATGCCGAGAATATGGTCGCGCCTTTTGCGATCTTTGTTCGACAAGTATTCCTTCGTCATGGTGTACTTGGACGACATATGCATCCACTCAACGACGATGGTGGACCATGTCGAACACTACGAACTGTGTTGGATATCTTGCGCAAAGAGCAGTGTTCGCTCGACTCGAGAAGTGTGCATTTGCGGACGGCAAGGTATATTTCCTCGGTAATACGATTTCGAGTGAAGGTTTGCAAGTTGATGCAAATAAAATCCGAACGATCGAGCAGCGGGCAGCCCTAGACACCGCAAAGAACTCATGAGTTTCCTCGGTATGGCAGGTTGTTACCTCAAGTTCATAGCAAACTATGCCAAGCTCGTGTTGCCTATCAGCGAGCTTACGAAGAGCAAAGCACCATGGAAATGGACGGAACAACACATCAAAGCATTCCTAGTAGTCAAGGCTGCGTTGCAACAAGCTCCTGTTTTGCAACATCCTGACTGTGATTGTCCATACATGGCGACGACGGACGCCTCTGGTTACTGTTGTGGAGCTGTGCTTTCTCAAAGGGATGATGATGGCAACGATCGACCTGTTGCATTCCTGTCGAAGAAATTTTCCGACACAGAAATAAATTGGTCATCAGACGAGAAAGAGCTCTATGCCATCAAGCTTGCACTTGCTAAATGGAGACCTTACGTCTATGGGTCTCACTTCGATGTCTTTACGGACAATTCGACATGCCAATGGTTTTTGAAGACTCCAGTACTTTCGGCCAAGTTAACACAATCTTTGAACTTCTTTGGTGCTTTCGACTTTACATTACTTCATCGACCGGGTAGGGTGAACGTGGTGGCGGGTGAGTGTCACGATCACCGGGAGGCAGCATTCAAGTCAACGATGCAGCAGTTCATGAATGTAACGGAATATGTTCGATTGTTATCATTCATCGATACAACGAACGTGTGGGCGGTATCAAGGGCTCGAACCTTCACACATAGAGTTTGATGATGGACTTGCCTCCTCAGGGGAAGGAGAGCGATGACAAGTTTGAAGTCGAAGCGTCACAAAGACTCGTCATCAACCACACGGAAGAGCTTTCGTCTAGTACCGATACGATGGACGTGAACATGAAGAAACATTTCGTTAAAGTCTATGTAAAGACGAAAGAGTTCGAAGACAGCAACAAGTACTTGAAGAAAGATGGTCTATACTTCCTGAAGACGAAGCACCAAGTGTAGAAGTTGTGTGGGTCAAACGACTACTACTTGAAAGGCGAGTTCATTTTGCAAAGTCACCATACGGCGGCACACCCAGGCGTGAGAAGAATGCAATAGCACATTGCGCAATCGTATTATTGGAAAGGACAAGAAGATGACGTCAGACTCATGTTGCGACTTGCGAAACATGCGCGAGTTACAAGATAAGTAGCGCTACGGCAAATGGAAAGATAACCCCCATCAAATCTCCTGAAGAATGTTGGCATACAGTTTCAATCGACTGGATCACTAGTTTACCGGTGTCGAAGGGCAAAGACGCGATCATGACTTGTATAGACAAGACGTCAAAACGCCCAAAGTTCTGTGCCACAAGTTCAAACGTCGATGCGCCTCAAGCGGCAAAGGAGTTTTCGACAAGATTGTACGACATCATGGACTTCGAGCCGTGATATCAGCGATCGAGATCCCAAGTTTACGAGTTCGTTTTGGATAGAACTCATGAAGGTCATGGAGGTGAAACATTGCATGACCACGGTAGGACGGGCTCAAAGTGACAGAGCCACAGAACGACAAAACCGACCTCTCGAAGATGCCTTAAGATGTCAAGTCTCCTACTTAGGAAGTGACTGGTCAGAACATCTCGGCAAAATTGAATATGCACACCAAGGATTAGTGCAATTGTCGATGGGCTTAGCACCTTTTGAAGCGGAAATCAGGAAGAAACTTGCGTAACCCAGTTATGAACGACTGTGAAATTTTGATTGAATGCACGACGAATTTCGGAACGACGAAAAGAATGATCATGATGGCGATTAACAACCTCGACAAACGCAAGCGCGACAAAAGAACTATTATAACAAGAAACGATCGTCAATCGAGTACAAAGAAGGCGATTTTGTCATGTTGGCTACGCGCAACATACCATTGAAGCACGAGCAGTTGAAAGACAGAAGCGACAAGTCGAAGCTTGTAGATCATATGGCCCTTCAAGATCGTTGAAGTGGTAAACTCCAATGCCATGCGGTTGAAGTTGCCAAACAATATGAACCGACTTAGCGACGTATTCAACGTGGATCGATTTAAGACCATGTTCAAAAACCCAAGTGTTTTGAAGGTCGTCCTATTCCTATTGCCACTCCAGTCAGTCTGGACGATGACAAAAACGAGTTGTTTATCGTTACTGTTGAAGAATCGTCAATTCAACCGCAAGACGGAGAACTTATTTCAATGGCACGTATTTGGGCCCAGCATGAAGCGACCTAGGAGCTTGATAGCAGCATCAAACCTGTGTAGCACTACAGTGGCGGAAGTCACTTTTTATGACACCACCACGAATTGCATGGTTCGCGTGTATGGTTGCTTATTCTGTGCCAAAGGTTCATTCAAATGAAGGCCGTAGGGCTTCTTATACGAGAACTCGTCTTCATTCGGGCTGCATGATAAAATCCCTGACACTGCATGCATTCGCAATATTCCCAAGAGGAAGTCAGGTTATTGCATGATGGTGAATTCAAGCCTATTGAAGGCATTATAGAGAATATCTCATATTAATACTTCATCATTGCTCCCTTGGAAGCCAAGACGGCAATGCAACGCTTGGGCATTGACGGTCTTTGCAAGAGAAGTCAAAGTTTATAGATTCATATGGCCCTTCAAGAACGTTGAGGTGGTAAACTTCAATGCCATGCGATAGAAGTTGCCAAACAGCATGAACCGACTTAACGACGTATTCAACGTGGATCGTTTTAAAAGACTATGTTCAAAACCCCAAGTGTTTTGAAGGTCGATCTATTCCTAAAGCCACTTCAGTTATCTAGGCGTTTATCGTTGACGCTGTATTGAAGAAATGTCAATTCAATCGCAGCAAGACGGTGTACTTAGTTAAATGGCATGGATTACCCGAGCATGAAGCGACCTGGGAGCTTAATAGCAACATCAAACATGCGTCGCATTATACGCGTCTGATTTCAGAACTACGAAGGCGGCGTGTAACCAGCGTTCGCCAAAAGCTAGTCTTCTCGATTCACTGCAGATTTGATTGATTTTGGGCAATATATGGATCGGAGGCCGTGTAAAACGAATACTTCTTCAGGTCCGATTGAGGCTACATAGCACGAGCCCCAGTTAGCTGGGAAACAAACATCATGGACTTGCCGGTTCGAATGAACTTGGAGGCACGGTCGGGATCTGAAACTCCAACGTCACAGGGCGGGGCATCGTGCTGTTATGAGCAATTGTTGGACCAAGAAGCGGTTGGGATTGATGCTGGGTTTGGTGTTTGGTGAGCGGTTTTTCGCGGTCTCTTAGGTCGAAAGCACCCGTTAGCTTTGTAGCAATATCCTGAACAAAATGCACAGTCGGTGGCTTGGGCGCCCCGTGCAAGTGGGGGCTTTTCGGGCGAGACTGGATGCTTCGCTTGGTCGGGTCGAGGGGCCTTAGAATTTGGCGCGGCGACACGAGGGGTGGCTTCGAAAAGAGTTGGCCGGTAGGCTCAGTTGCATTGTTCGGCATGTTGGTTGGATGATGCTTGGGCAGGTACTGGTCGCACGAGAGGCACTTCAACGGCACTTTAGTTAGTCCAAATTGGAAGCTGTCGTCCATGTGTTGGTTTTGCTCAAGTTTTCGCATGTCGACCTTGTCGGCTTTCGTGTCCAGCGTTCGCACAATCGTTTGGATGACGTCCGAGTTGGGCAGGCGTTGCAATGTCGCCCGCATTTCGTCGATGGATGCCAGCGCTGCGTGATTCGACAAGTCGTTTGAAGCTGCAAATCCATTGTAGCTAGGCGACCTATCCTTAGACGACGAGGACAAATACCTTGGCTTGGAGGTGGTTGAGTTGGGCCAGCATGTCGTCTTGTCGCGGACACATCGCCAGCTGCATTTCCAATTGATGCTCGAGCTGGGCATGCCGTTCCAATTCCGTTTGCACGTGCTGGAAAGCAGATTGACAGAATGTGCCTACAGAATTCCACACTCACGCACCTCGAATTGGCATCGAAGGACTTCATGCTTCAAATCCAACGCCGCCATCGAGTCTGCGACCATCTACTGATCGAAACAACGCCGTTTGAACATGGCGCAGACGACGTCGATTGCGCACCTGCCTGGCCTGGAGGCCTGTGCTATGCATAGACGACCATATCCCCCACTGCACCCGTTTGGACTTTGCCGGCAATTCTGTCATCGCACATGCGAGCTCTGCAAGGCCGGCCGCCTCCTTGTCCACCGAGAGCAATGAATCGACCCCAAGTGGAACGCGATCTCTTTTACCTCGGGATTCAATGCCGTAGACTGAACATGCGCCACAAGTGCGACCAGGCCTCGTTCCAAGTCAATCATTGCCGCCAGGGGCGGCTCAGCTTCACCAGGTCTAGCATTCAAGATTTTTTGAATTGCATGTCGGGTGTCAAGCGCCAAATCACGGCAATCCGAGAGGTGGCTAAGTGCTGTCAGGTCGTTTGACAGCCCCATGAGCTCAAGTGGGCTCAATCCGCAAAGCACTCGATCTCGCCATGCAATTTCCCACTCCGCCATGTTCGGCACCGTCGCTTGAACAGCGTTGATATGCTCGTGGATGTCTCGGCATTGGCGCGTCTAGTTCGATGCGATGACGAGCCGCGTGGCGAACAGTGGACCCACCAAATTATCCACTGCAGCTTCGTGCTGGCACTACGCGCGTATGAGCCACGTCAAGCACAGCCCGACACATACTTGACTCTCCTGTTGACGGTGCTTCACCTGGCCGAGCGATTGAAAGATGGACTCCAACGATCGATTCTGCGGCGCGGCCAAGTAAGCACGAGGCTGCATCCACGGCGTACGTACGATGCGGTCGAACTCAGCGTCCAGACCTAGCAGTTTGTAGTTGACGGCGTCGATCTTCTCGTCGACGTAAGCCAAGCATTGCTGTGTCGATGTCGCGATCATGGCTGCGACATGACTCAAGTCCGGACCAATAGCCCCCACGTGCTTGGAAGCGTCGGTCTCGATCGCTGTCACACGCAAGCACAAACTGTGCACTAGCGACTCGATGAGAGATCCCTGAGCCACGAAGAACGACGTCACATCGCTCTCCAAGCTCTTGTACAGAGCCATGTTGAATCCTTGCACGCTCCACGAAACCACCGTCATGAACCGTTACAGACTAGCAGTTACACTGGAAACGGCCACGAGGTGTAGGCATGTGTGTGGAGTGCGGCGCAGAAAAGAGCCTTTCGAGCACCCCACGTTTGTACACACCGGTTGCCGCGGTTCGTATCCACGGGGCAGATGAGCATCAAATGAAGCAGTGAGAACGCCGTCACACGTGCCCGTGATCTCATTCTGGTGCGTTGCAGCACAACCCCTGTCCACGAATAACCTCAGGGTGAAACGGGGGCGACCAACACCGGTGCACCTGGTGCAATCGCTGTTGTGTTTCATCCACATGCTTGATGCCGAGCCCACTGCCTGAACACCTAGCCTTGACTGAGACTTCCCGGCGTGTTTGGAACCGACTGGACGACTCCAACGTCCTTTGCCAACCGGCCTCACCCTGCACGTGCCTTGAGCAGGCAAGGTCCATTAGCAATACTACACTGCCAACCAAATCTGTTTCAAAACACAGCTGCGACCTCATCTACGACGTGGAAAAGCACTATACTATGGAGGGAAGAGCTGGGTGGAGGTGACACACTCGACGTAAGCGCCGCCAAATTGACCATCGGGTCATGCCGAATGCAGCACTCGACCGCGGTGGTGTTTGTTGTTCTCGGCGCATGCGCAAGAGTCCTCTCAGCGGAGGTCCCAAAGCATTCCTTCAAAAGAAGAGTGAAGAGTGAATCGTCATTGTGCCACCGGAGCACCATCGACACCGTGGCCAACGCACCGCTTGATTCCTCGAACCATGTCATGCCGGTGGGCAATGACACATTCATTGCTCCTCCGTTACCGAATACCGCGGCAGTTGACGCAATTGGAATGATATCTGACCGCTGCGAACTGTGCCGAGACACTGGGCAGTGCTGCAAGGCCATGGTAGTCCTGGTACGATTTGCTGGAACGTTTTGACTCCAAGTTGACTCTTCCCATCCGCCGCCTGCGGCTGCGTGTTGTTGTCAGGACGCGTTCTTGTGCCTTCCATTCGCTTTGTCGTCATGTGCATGCTTTCAACCAAGTCCATGGTGGCTCGCGCACGCTTACACTGTGTCACATCACTCAATGGCTTCGCTAAGGACCAATGTTTGCCGATAGAAGAATGCCCAGGATACAATGCAAGTGGCCAAAGCAATGTGCTTGCTAGCCTTCCACCCAAGCCGTTCATGCATTGTCGGTCGCACGAGCTATTTACGCGACCGCAAGGCAATCACGCAGTCGGTGCCGTGAGTCAAAGTTGTTACGACTGGTGTGGTCGCGAATCCTGAATTCGCTCTTGATCTACTGCGAGCAAGACTCGCGAGATCTTGGGAGCGCTAGCACCGCGTCCTTCTCGCGGACCAACCATGTCGATCCCGTTGTGCCACGTCCCCCGTTGACTCGGACGCATGGGTAGCCGACGGATTCGACCGGAATCTGGAACAAGTGCAGGTCGAAGAGTTGTGGCATACAATTTCCAAGTATATTCAAGTCACCTTGATGCAAGTTCGAAACTTTCGAAACAATTTCGACCCGACTGGACATGTGAGGACAGGATGGTCGCCCACGACAACAGCTCGATTCAAAGTCCAGGACCTGGGAACGACGTCATATCAAAGCGAATCTACACGTTCATCCACGCAAGTGCGGTCCGAGGGAAGACTGCCTCGGATGCTGGCCATGCTTGACACTTCCGCGGTCGTCGTGGGTAGGTGCGCTATGTCCTCCATCCCACGAACTCTTCCATTAAAGCTTGGAAATTCGCAATTTGACAAGGATCGTGCCGACGTTCGATTGGTGGAATCTGAACGAACGCCATCTGATTGGCTGGATGGTCTGGAGCGTGAAAGGGTCGAGTTGCACACGGTGGATTTGTTGGAATGCTTCAAATTTAGACCAATGAAAGGATAGTGAGATCGTGAAGGAGTCTTGATTGGACAAATATTGAACATTTTAGCAAATCAAATGACACAAATTGAACCCAAACATTACACTGCGCCAGAGCCGGCGCACGTTCCGGCGAAGGTTCTGTCGAATTCCCGACCAAATTCTTCGTTTTCGCCGCCTGGACAGACCCTGACGGGGGTGGTGACGATGCATCATGTGCCGGTGTTCCTCCAAAAGACGTACGACATGATCGAGAACTGCGCGGACACGGTCGCGACGTGGTCCACGACGGGCGAGTCGTTCATCATCAAGCGCATCAACGAGTTTGCGTCGGAGGTCTTGCCTCGGTACTTCAAACACAACAACTTCAGCTCGTTTGCCCGGCAGCTCAACTTTTACGGATTCCACAAGGTCAAGAAGGAGGACATCCTGCTCCGAGCGAAGGGACTGGACTCGCCCACCGATCCCGACGCGGTATTGGAGGCGCAGGGTTGGTGGGAATTCAGCCACCCACTCTTCTTGCGAGACCATCCCGACAAGATGGGAAGTATTCGACGAAAGACCTACGCAGATTCGAATCAAGCGCAAGCAGCGGCGGCTGCCGCTGCCTCCGCCCAGTCGTCGTCGCCCCCGCACTCGAACAAATCGGAACTCGACGAATTGAAGGGCTTTATGACTGAACTCGTTGATGACGTCAAGACGGAATTGGCGACGCTCAAGAACCAAGTAAACCTATTGACGAACCACATGACGTCGCTGGGAAGTCTCATGCACCTGATCGTCCAGACACACTCGATGGACGCTGCTGAACCCTCGCTGAAGCGAAGGAAAATTTACTCGTCGATGCCTCCTACAATGCCCCAGCAGCACACCATGAACAACCCCATCACACTCCCGCCGTTGAACGCGATGGCCTCTCCTCACGGGTCGCCGCCGCCTACATCATCCCTGCTGTCGACGATGTACACCAAGTACAAGTACATGGATGAGCGAAACGAGCTGGAAGAGTCGGAAGCGACGGCGGCATACGTCCTGTGGAATCATGCTCGGCGGGAAAAGATGCTCTGACCGCGCCGAATGCGGAGGATCACACGTTTGAAACGTTTTGTAAACATATCGAACAGATTAGGTAGAGTAACAACAAACTAAGTATAATAGTCAGGTTGGAGGGAGATGATGTGGCGTATTCTTAATGTACAATTTGTTCTTGAAGAGAACGATAGTGTACGTTCCTGCAATCGGAAGGACACAACCTCCTGGCTGCAGCACGATCCTCTGAACCGCAGCGTTTGCAGTGCCTTTTGTGATGCTTTGAAAGTTGAGTAGGGTGTGGAGTTGCTTTTCTAAACGTTTTCTACACGTTGGAAACGCGAGATGTTGTACAAATACCTCAACACGGGCATGTTTCTAATTACAAAGTTCGGGCCGTCGTTCGCTTGACAGCTGCGACGATGTCTTCGACTTGGGGTACGGCCAGTCGCTCCAAGTTCTCGGCGTACGGCATGGGGATGTCCGAGCCGGTCACGCGCTCCATGGGGGCGTCCAAGTAGTCGAACGCGTCGGTTTCCATGAGGATGGCGGCGATTTCAGCGCCAATGCCGTGTTGGCCCCACCCTTCTTCAACAGACACAACGCGCGATGTCTTCTTGGCCGACGCAATGATGGTATCGCGGTCCAAGGGACGGATCGAACGGAGGTTGATCACTTCAACGTCGATTCCTTCCTTAGCGAGCACTGCCGCCGCTTCGAGAGAGACGCCCACCATACGCGAGAAGGTCACAATGGTGACGTCCTTGCCGGGCTTCATGATCTTGGCCTTGCCGATCGGGATGAGGAAGTCCTTGTCTTGCGCTGCCTTCGAGACTGGGAACGACGTGCCGTACATCAATTCATTCTCAAGGACCACAACCGGGTTGGGGTCACGCACGGCGGCCTTCAAGAGACCACGGGCATCTTCGGAATCATACGGGACGACGACCTTCAACCCAGGGACCGAGCCGTACCAAGCGGCAAAGCACTGCGAGTGCTGGGCGGCGACGGCAGACGCGGCACCGTTCGAGCCGCGGAACACGATCGGCACGGCGATGTCACCGTTACTCATGTAGAACTGCTTGGCAGCTGAGTTGATGATTTGATCGATAGCTTGCATGGCGAAGTTGAACGTCATGAATTCAACGATCGGCTTCGTGCCATGGTACGCAGCGCCAACACACAGACCAGTGAACCCGGCTTCCGTGATCGGCGTGTCCCAAACGCGCTTGTCGCCGTACTTTTCCCAGAGCCCCTTGGTGACTTTGTACGCGCCATTGTACTTGGCGACTTCTTCCCCCATGATGAACACAGACTCGTCGCGGGCAAGTTCTTCATCCATGGCCGTGTTCAACGCATCGCGAACGGTCATCTCATCAGCAACAGTCGCCATCGAACGGCGCGCAAGGCCGCGGAAGGGAGTAGAGGATTGCTTGAGCACGCGCGCCAACATGTTGATTGCCAGAATGAAATGACTACGACTGAACGCCACACAAGCGCCGCGACCGAATTGGACCAATCAAACCACGGCATTTCCAAGCATACAAATCTCAGCATAAACGTGACGTCATATGGATCGACAAGATAATTTTATTCCATCCATATACAAATATCAAGTATATTGAATTGTGGACGCAAAACGACCCTCGCCGAATGCACGAGTCGCATCACGCCATCGTTGGCCCAACGGTGCGAGTGTTGAAGGGGTGATCCAGACGAAAATGGCGCACTGATTGGAACTTGTCCACCCCGGCGATGGGCTGCAGGCACGAAACAGGTCGAGGACACTGTTTGCCGTGTGGTGACACCAAAGGTTGCCATGATCGGATGCCTCTTTGGCAAACCCAGCGAGCCGCCATCACTTGCTGACACGGTCGTGGCCACTACACACACACTTCCTGATTGACGAAAATCCTTGCAAACCAAACAAAGCGTTGCAACTCTTCTCGTTTTGGACGTCGACACCGTCTTTTCGGTGTGTTCTTTGCAAGTGAGCGAAGTCGTTCGAGGGCCAGACATCATGCACGAAGCGTGCACGTTGCGTAGCTACAAGTGCACAAGTGCATAGCTACAAGTGCATATGCAAACAAAGCAATGCGACATGCGAGCAGATACCTGCGCAATCGAAGCTGGAGTGCTTTGGAACACGAGCATCACACAGAGGACCCAAGCGCATTCACGATGCCAAGCTGTCGACATGGATTTTTGTGTCCAAAAAGTCAAAATTCAATTGCATGAAAAAATCCAACAAAATGTCCTGATTCATGGAATATTAATATGTTCACAACTGATCGATCGAATGACAAGTGCGGCATCCGTCCAGCATCGCGCCGTGGCAGAAGTGCTGAGTGCCGTTGATGACGAGGATGACAAGAAGGAAAAGAGATCATCGCAAAACGTAGACGTGCCACGGTGGATGTACGTTGCATTCTGCGCCGAAACGTGCGCAAGTGTATTGCTCACGGCGACGTTCAACACGTTCCACGTCGAAACGTTCTTGACCGAGTATAAGCTCGAGCTGTCATCCTACGCCACAGGCCACGCCATCTACGCTGCGATCAACACGCTCAATGATATCGTGGGCGCCGCCGTCCTCGACTCCCTTTCCCTTACCAAGGTAGCAGCTCTCGATTTGTCACAGTTTCACCTCCCGTCGTGCCATGCACGCATAGGGCCGCGCGTGGCTGCTCCAGTGCGGCGGTCTACTATGGAGTCTTTGTTTTCTGCTACCGTGGTACCCTTGGCCATCCTACCCCGCTGTGCACTTCGTCTTCAGTTTATCCTGCTACGACACCATGTACGATACCGTCCATGCGAAGAAAGTCGCACTTCTAGTCTCATGCTGTACTCCATTAGGTACTCGTTTTGCGCCATCGCAGGGGGATCACTGCTCACGGAAATGGACATCACGGACTCCCAACGCATTCACGTACGCCTATTGCACAACTCTGAATTTCCCTACCTTTGTTGTCCTTTCCACCTCATCGCTATGCTCATGCACCAAATTGACGGTCTTTTTGGCATGTGCCTTCCGATGTCGCCGTGCTTTCCGCATTGGCGCGTGTGCCATTTGCACATTTGTTGGCTCACCAGCGTTCTTGCGTCGTCAGTCTTCCAATCCGAGGTTATTCCTAGGTGTTACGTGTGAAGAGCATCTTTGGAATGGCGACGACCTTGTTGGTGACGTCGTTGGGCCAGACGTTGTTTCCACACAAATCTGCCTTTCGGTTCTTTTGCGCTGGGCTAACTCTTGTCTCGGGGGTTTGTTTTGCCGTGTTTTACTACGCGATTGAACGGGCGTCGCCCCGGCGCTCCTTGTCTCGTTCGGCGCCGTCGTCGATTCCCACCGCCGGCGGTGCGGTGCCATTGAAGGCCGTGCTCGGGGAGTTCTGGCATCTCTCCAACTTTCATGCGTGGCTGGGCATGGAAATGTGCTTGGAAACGCAGGCTAACTTCAATCGGAGTTACTTGCGGCTTTTCGTCACAACGTTCGTGCCAGATCCAGCAATCGCGCCGCTCTTTGTCTCCATCTTGCCCGTCGCCAAGCAATTCATCAAAATCGCGGCTTTTTCCGCCCTCGACCGCCTCGGAGTATACGAGGTACGGTGGTTCGATATTGCCTGCGTGTTTGCAAATACGTTGTGGGTTGCATCAGTTTACGTCAGTCAATTCCAGTTCTTGAAGACGCCGCTTCGTATCCCTCTTTATGCCCTCATTTGTTCCTGTTTGTTGGCATGCTCTTTGGCCCTTGCTGACCTCGTGGTTGTAGCTCCAATTTAGAATTTTGGTGACAGCCCTGGCGGCGATTTCATAGGTTTACAAGATTTCGTTTCGAGTAAAACTGGCTGCGGCCTTCGTTATGCTGGTACTCGGCGGTAGCAGTGGGGCGTCGCTTCCGTCATGGATCGTCCTGGCGTTCATCGCCGTTAATACCATCGTGACGGATGTTCCCACGGGCGGGTTCACTGTCGCCATGAGCAACATGCACAAGGAAATGTCGTTGAGGTACTTCCCTATCGATCTATCTTTGGTCAGATCCCCCCCGTTTGCCGAGAGGAATATTTTTCTTTTGCCCACAGGCGCCTCAAGATTAAACGAGATGCCACCAAGGATCCGAGGACGTCCAGGCCCAACTCGTGGGCGTTCTCGTCGTTGTCGGGAATGTTCATGGGCCTCAATGCCGTGTTTTGCAAACCCATGGACTCGCTGTTGCCGATTCTGGCAGCGCAATGGCTTCAACTGGCTGCCGCCGACGTTGGCGAATCGAACGCAGCCACGCGCACCGCGATGTTTCAACTCCTCGTGGGGCCACCCCTTGTACTCAGCGCGATTCAAATTTGGAGCTGGAGTCGATATGGTCTGACACGGGAAGCCATGTACGTTATCGATGCTGAGTATACGTACTTGGCTCTCCACGGACCATCTCCCACTTCCCCATGACGGCTCTCACGTTATGGAGCGTTCCGTGGTGAGTTGTCGATATCTCGTTCAGTTCCCCATCATACTGCTAAGACGATTTCTCGTATCAAGATATCACATCTCCTTTGCCATGAAACCAGTGACCAGTGTTTGGAGAAGACTTTGGAAGGGGACAACGGCTCATGACGCCTCGTGAGTGCATCGAACTGGAATGGCTGGTGACTATAAGCAAGCAGAGATGCCTACGACTCGACCTTGACATGTTCTGTGGCGATGGCGCTCGGGAGGCGGCGGACCCACGCCGGGCGATTGAGTGAAAAGATCTCACGGAGTACGAGGACGACCGTCACGGTGGCGACGGCACATACGATCAAATAGTTGGGGAAAGCATTGTAGGCGTATTCGACGCCGCAAATTTTGTACCAAGGATCGTTGACGTGGAGCTACATCATCGCGGTGACGACGGGGACAATCCAACTGCCATACCTGCGACCGGGGAGCCCCGCAGAACGAAAACGCTTCGTCAAAGTGCAAGACACACAAGTAGGTAAATTTCGTCTGCGGTGTACCAAATAGCGTCGAGTACGTTGTCGTGTGGCTGCAGTTCCCGAGCAATTGGTGGTACCCGAGCGAGACCAAGTGGGATGGGTTCACCACGACCAGCAGCAGCGGCATTAAGCCCAAGTACACCATGCTCGCCTGGACAAGCGCGTGGTCGTACCACGAGTGGTGCCATTCACCATCGTATTGCCACAGCACGACGTTCTTCTCACTGTCGCCTACAACACTCGCCTATAGGTCGCGATGGAGCTGTGCGGACGTGCTCACCGCCGCGGCGATCCGATGCCCACACCCATAGCGTTGATAGCACCACCAACCCAGTCAAGACAATCTACCGGTGATGTGTTTTGTTAGGTGCAGGACAGGGTCGCTTGGGTGCAGGACTACGTACGTGACTCGACACATGGAGTAGATCGATGAACAGTTGAAAGGTTAGCCCGTACGCGAGCATGGACACTGGCAACGCGAGACATATCGCTCCTGCCATCACGCCATATTCGGTGACCGCATTGGCCTCTTGGAACTCGAAACCTATCGTCATCCGACTGACCAAAGGTGAACATGGGACGTATGAGACGACGAGGGAGCGTACGAGCGAAGGAACTCCAGACACAGGTGAAACGACGCGGCCGAGTAAGCATGGGAGGCCAAAATCGAATAGGGAACGTTGAGAAAGCGGTCTTCTACAGTTGGATCGGTGTCGTGCCAAGTCCACCACAACAGTTTCGACCCTAGCAGCTCGGCAGGGAACACTAGTGCCATCGTGAGGACACCCACAGCAGCAACACTCGACGAGAAATGCAGGTTTAGCCTCAGCGCCGCGATGTACGCCCTACATCATGCACGTTTTGCGTGGATGACGGCGACATGGACGAGCGTACACGTAGTAGAGCGAGGCAAACAGGAGCACAGCGTAGACAGGGACATGACCGTAAAACAGCATGACCTAGTGGTACGACGTGACACGGTGGAGGATTAAATGGGCGAGACGCACCAGAGCTTGTCCATGCCACATAATCGCAAGGTTCGGGTCGATTTGCCCGAGGCCAAACAAGAGCGTGTGAAAAGCAACAAAACCTCCGAGGACGAGCTGAGTTCGCCGAGGAGACCCCGCCGCGTGGACGAACGCCATGAGAAAGATGAAGTAGCTGACAAGTTCCATCAGGACAAGGCTGTAGTTGTCGAAGACGAGCTGCAGAGGCGAGTTCAGCGTCATGAGCGCATTGAGCACCATGGTCGCACTCCAAGTGCACAGTTAGTTGGCAATTCGCATGACGAATAATACTGTAGCTTTCAATAGCCTTTCTAAATTAATTCTGTATAGAGTACGAGTGGATTTAAACTATTACAGGTATCGGTTTCACAACGTCGTTTCAAAAATATTTCCAAATTTCTGGAGAAATGCGATAAGTTTTCGAATATCCATCAACTCGAAGTGCTCCTCGACAAAACTGATGCTGGGAGCCAGGCGTCGCGAGATTCGAGCGCTTCGACACGAATGCCAGAATACGATGCCTTGGAGGGAAGAGACCGGTCGCTCTCACCATGGAGGGTGGTTGGCATGGCCAGCTCACGCAACAATTCGTTTCTCAACAAAGTCGAGTCAACAGAATCTCCAGCTTTGTGGCGGAAGTTCCGACCAAACTTGAAACAGCGATTTCATTTTGAGGGGCAAGGTGGCAGCGACTCAGGAGACTGGAAGGACTCTTGGAATGCTGTAGCGTTCTGCAAAGTTGTCGTGGCCAAGATGCAGTGGCGCGCGAAGTAGGGCTATCAAATGCGCAATTGAATCGACGGAAAGGCCGTTTGCACGGACACTTTATAGCGGGTGTACGACTGCCATGCGTACGGATTCAAGTAATAGACTTACAAGCAAAACTACTTTACAAACGATCTCGGAGACTCGACGCCAACTTCGATTGTATGGCCAAAGTCAATCCAGAGATGTCGGGAGATTGCTACGCGAAACGTCCATGCGCTGTTCACACCACGATGTGGGCTGGATGCGATGGGCCATCCATCTTACATGCCGGGATGGGTGAACTGCATAGCGCCAGATGCTTCGTGGATAAAACACACACGTTGTTTCGTGGGGGAAAACCGCGCTGTCCATCCTGGCGGCAAGCAGCACTCGTTGACGTCGACGCCAAGGGCCATGCGTTGCATGTTGTGCGTGATGGGGTCCGTCTCGAAAGCGTAGGCAGGTCCTCGAATAGGCGAGTTGTTGCCCGACGCCACACCTCCTCCATCGCTTCTGGTCGACGGCATGTTCACGTGCTTGATCGTGATGTCGAGCACCTGGAGCAGACTGTTGTTGTCGAAGGATGCCGCCATGAGTTGAGTTGGGGCTGGAGAATGATGGATCCAAAACCCATCTAGGTATCAATACGTATCCGGATTCGGATATCTTCCCATACAAAAACCAAGTATGCTTGTAGTGGGTGATCATCCGGATACAATGTATCATTCTAACTAAGGACTAGGCCACAGGCGCCAAAGGCCATCTTGGTCAAGTTATGGCCCAAGGCAAGATGCTCGGTACGGTAGCAGATCATAAATGCCGCGTCGCCGAAGCAGTGCACAGCGGCGGAGGGACGCCAAGTTTAGCTATGTGGCCGGCTTTGTAGGGTCAAGGTAGAAGGGGGCGCTCCCGTCGAGCTCGCATTGTGTTCGTGTTCACAACAGGGATACAGTACTTTGCAGTTTCTCGAGCTGGGCTCCATGATACCGAGCCTACTTTCCCCATATCTATCCATCCATATTCGTGGATAACTGATTGAGACGGTTTTCAGAACCGAGAGATTCAAGGAAGGAGTTTGACTACGCCAGATGAAAGTATGCAGCAGTCGTGCAAGGAGCTTGGAATAATTCTCCACACTTGCGGTGGTTGCGACTGTAATTCAACACGACGAGCACGCATGTGCGGTTGGATCTATTTCTTTTTACAAACTTTGACGTGGCCGTCCATCCATCCTGATGTCAGCCACGTATACATAGGGTTTCTACTCGGTACTATCGCTTCTACAGATGACACTTGGGTCGCTTGACCAACGGACAAAACGTGGACTGGTGGTCGTCGGCACACTCGCCAAGGACGAGGCCTTCCACGCCCAATGGACTTGGCGACCGGTCTCGCTTCAACGACAGAGTAGTTGATGCCATATCGATGCACTGGGCGAGAATCTGCAGACAACGCTCAACCTTGGCTGTAGTCGTTGCAGGCACAAGCTGCGTAAGCGACGCAATAACACTGGCGCAAGATGCATGATGACCCGTGACCTGACACGCCAAGGTAACAATAGCAACCGCGATTTCGGATGGCAAGAACGCTAGCATTTCGTGCGACATCCGACTGGCGGCGAGGAAAGGGAGGCACGCTTCGCCCAAGCGCGACGAATCGTCTGGCGATAACTCGACCACGAAGCACTCTACAAAGTGAATCGGGACGACAATGTGGAGATTCCACTCAAGGACATCAAGCATGGACGTCTCCATACTCCGAATAGTGTCGGGGGTAAATCCAGCCAAATGTGCCAAGTTGGCCGCCTCCGCGACAAGCAACGCATCGGGCTCGTGGAACTTGGACGCGACCAAGAGCGCAACAAGTCCGACGAGCTGCAGGTTGTGCTGCGATACGGATCTTCGCGAAAGATGTCGGTCGAGGTAGTTGAGCGCAAGGTCCGTGGTAACTGTTGCGAACTCGAACTCTGTCGAGATGGCCACCATCCACTCAGCAATGCGCACGCGCCACGATGCTTCCATGCCGTCGCGCTGCACTGTGCAGATGTAGGTGACGTCGGGTCGGTGGTCGCACTCCTTCTGCAGGAGCTCAGCGAGGATGTCCTTCATGGTGGCCACCGTGAGCTGTGGGATGATGTGATCGTTGAGCATTGCCAACACCATCAAATCTTCGTCACAGCTCAAATCTATTGCACTCTCTGCGTCGTTAGCTCCGACCATGGTGGTGGTGGCGGATAGACAGGCTGGCTGCCGTCGGCGACTCAAATTGTGGAGTGGCCGAAGTTCGGGTGTATCATCTTCTGCAGGGCGTCGCTGGGTTTGTATGCGTTGGCATGGCAGTTACACGCCAGGATTGGTCGACGCAAAATGTTGTAAAACAAATGGCCGAAAAAAAGTTTCATCCCAGCCATTCAAGCTAGGAGGCCGGTATTTATTCCTTTTTTTGAGTGGCAACCAACGACCGAATGACTTCAACGTTTTGGAGCTCAAATGAGTACATATGTATTAAATGGTGGGGTGCATGACGACGGAGGCCAAGTGTGTGTCGCTCATGCTTCCATCGAAACCAAACAGCACTAACGAAAGGCACAGAAAGACATCACCCGTAGGTGAGACTGCTGCTACCTCAATCGCATGGCGTCGTCGTCCGCGACAGTCGTCGCAGAAGAACACCACTTACCTAGGCACAGATGGTCCCGTCGCCTGG